GACTTGCTGTATTTTTCTTGAAGACGTTTCACTGATCATCCGACCAGCTTTCTCAATGCTGAATTGAGAAAGCTGGCCGGATGACCAGTGAAACGTCTTCAAGAAAAATACAGCAAGTCTAGTTGCCTTGACTTATTTTTTACAGATATGCAATGACCTGGATGCATGAACCTTCACAGACAATAATATGATCAGTTCTAGTAGCAGGCTGAGCAACAGTAACGTAATATAACATAATAATAATATTAAGATCTCACTCACACTTGGAGTCATCGTGGTCCTTCTGCAGGGCAGTACACGTCCTCAACCCCCTGTGTGTCCACCTTGGGGCCCCAGAGTGAGGGCCCCCTTTGCACAGTGGCCAGGCTCTCCTCCACACACTCATAGCTCTTCTAATCACCTGCCTGAGCTCTGTGCAGTAGAGAATAGTGGACTTTCACATGACGTCATCACTCAGTGACATGTCTCCGCCCCTCCCGGCCCATGCTATAAAAAGTGTCTCCAGTATTCGACATCGGCGGCCATTGTTATGAAGACACCGTACTATAGGCGCTGTATGGTGGAGGGCTCAGGTAAAATGGCCGCCGAGGCGGAGACAGTTGTACTGGCAGGGGAGATACAGTTGCTGTACAGCTCAGCTATAGGTGTACCAAGATGGCCGGGGCCGGAAGTCGTTGTGCCCTCCCCCTTGGCACAGACGGAAGTGACGCCTGCCAGTATTTCTCTGACGTGTCTCGGTTGGTTTCGGTGTGTTTTGTGGGGACAACATGTTGGACTTCTTCACCATCTTCAGTAAAGGCGGCATCGTGTTGTGGTGCTTCCAGGGGGTGAAAGGATCCTTCACCGGGCCTGTCAATGCCCTGATCCGCTCTGTCATTCTGCAGGTGACTGTCTATTATTGGGGAGAGAGCTGTGCCACCACTTGGGGAGAAGAGCTGTGTCACTACTGGGGGGAGGGGAGAGCTGTGTCACTACTGGGGGGAGGGGAGAGCTGTGCCACCACTAGGGGTATGGGGGAGATCTGTATCACCACTAAGGAGAGGAGAGCTGTGCCACCACTGGGCAGTGGGTGGATGGGGAGCTGTGCCACCATTGGGGGAGCTGTGCCACCATTGGGGGAGGGGGGGAGCTATGCCACCGTGTTGATTTGTAGCTGGTGGGAGTTGAAGGGACAGAACTCCTCTCCTACCATATGGTGACTGTAGGCCTCTCATTTCATCGTTGTGTGACAGATCTGAGAACTGCACCAAGGGCCTGGGCTGTGTGGGCAGTGGGGGCCCGGGCTGTGCGGCAGCCGGGGCCTGGACTGTGCGGGGACCCGGGCTGTGCGGCAGCCGGGGCCTGGACTGTGCGGGGACCCGGGCTGTGCGGCAGCCGGGGCCTGGACTGTGCGGGGACCCGGGCTGTGCGGCAGCTGGGGCCTGGACTGTGCGGGGACCCGGGCTGTGCGGCAGCTGGGGCCTGGACTGTGCGGGGACCCGGGCTGTGCGGCAGCTGGGGCCTGGACTGTGCAGGGACCCAGGCTGTGCGGCAGCTGGGGCCTCGACTGTGCGGGGAGCGGAGACCAAAGGCTGTGCAGAGAGGAGTGGCCTGGGCTGTGTGGGGACCGCGGGCCCCGGCTGTGTGGGGACCGGGGGGCCTGGGTTGACATCCCCTCGGCGTGTGACAACACACTGACTCACCTTTTGTCATTCTTTGTATTTCAGGAGCGAGGCGGCAACACCTCCTTCACCCATGACTCCCTCACCCTCAAGTACAAGCTGGATAATCAGTTTGAGTTGGTGTTTGTGGTAAGATGATGCCGTTCCTGTGATATCCGGGGATGGAATTCCATGTCGCGCCGTGTCTGATCTCTGCCAATGCTAAAGCCTTTTGTATAAGAGGCCCAACAATGTTGCTGCATATGTGAGCTTCTCTGGTGCCCGGGCACTCAATCGGGCCAGATATTTTGGTAGTAGCGGGCCCTTTAATAGTGGCCCTGTATATGAGTCACAGGGCATCTCTCTCATCAGTCTGACCCCTGACCCTTGACCCCCTGATAGCAGTCAGAGATCTCATTGGTGGCTGATGAATCCTCATTGCAGTGCCCAGCAGCAGCTTCTACTCGGAGCTTCCAGTAAATCCTTTACATTCCTTCCAGATATACCTCCAGCAGGGCAGATAATACTCTTGGGGCCCCAGCACATACCCCGGCTGAGGGAGACCCGAGTAGAAAGCGCACTTCACCTAGACATCGTCTCTCCAGGCCGAGGCCCAGGAAGGAAGGGACACTCTGGAAAGGTGATCCAAAATGTCGTCATCTCCCCATACGTACCTCTGAACAATGAGATCAGGGATTGGTTGGGTCAGGTGAACAGTCACATCGCAGAGATTGTCCTTCCCACACTGATTACTGGAACCTCCACACCAGTGACAGGCAGAAGCAATCAACACTGAGCTCAGGAGAAGCAGCAGAGGCCAGAAAAAATGTAAACTGAGCTCAGACCGGTTACAGCCCAGCAGCAAAACGCATTAAGAGCGTCGTTTATGAACACATTTCAAGGCCATAAGCCCTGTAAAAACAACGCACGTTCCTTCTGTGCTAATGAAACCCAAAACGAATGCTCTTGTACGTTTTCTTTAAGAGTCCAAAGTAGTTTCAAATGTCATCAAGTAATACTGCACTAGATGTAGGGGGGCATAGCAAACTATTACATCTTTCCTATGCTCCACAGCTCCATCTAGTGGCCATAATGTGGTATTTTATATATAAAACATTCAAATTGGAAACTGTACTAAGAACGTTTGTTTTAGGCACAGAACGACGTTTGTGGAGTTTCGCAACGGCGATTGGCCCTGTTATTTTATTTATAGAGCGCTGACAACTTACGCAGCACTTTACATAGTTGCACATTCACATCTGTCCCTGCCCTCGTGGCGCTTACAATCTAAGGGCCCCCATCTCATATGCATATGAGGGCCAATTTAGAGAGGAGCCAGTTAACCTACCAGCATGTCTTTTTGGAGTGTGGGAGGAAAGCGGAGTACCCGGAGGAAACCCACACAGCACAGGAAGAACATGCAAACTCCTTGCAGATTTAGTGACCTGGCCAGGATTCAAACCGGGGACCCCCAGTGCTGCAAGGCAGAAGCGCTAACCACTACACCACTGTGCTGTTACTGTTTATATAGACACCCCCTCAGTATAATTAGGGACACTCCAGCTGAGGGCAGGGTCAGCCTCTATCTATTATACACACAGTAGCCACACGCCATGATAGTGACTCTCCAGGGGTCTTGTATGGATTAAGAGGTTGTGTTGGAATATACACTTTGTTTTGTTCCCGCAGGTTGGGTACCAGAAGATTTTAACGCTGACCTATGTAGACAAGTTAATAGATGACGTCCATAAAGAGTTCCGGGACAAATATCGTAATCAGATTCAGCAGAACGGGGCGCTGGGGCTGCTAAACGGCTCCTTTGATTTTGAAGATGATTTCA